TTTTCCGTCTTCTGTACTTTAATCAAAACATTGAATAAGACGTCAGTCACTATTGATAGACACTGAACTTTCCGTTAAGGCAGCTTCAATCACCAATGACTGAGAGAGTAAAATATGATGTAAAACTAAACAATTGACATTGTTTAAAGTAATAACTGAAAATTTAATTAAAATTTACCTAATTTTTATTTATTACAAAACGAATTTTTATTTTTTTTAATATTTTTTAAAAGGGAGCTTTTCACTGTTTTATAACAATGCGTGCTTTTTCAAGCAGCGTGCTTTGCTTGAAAATTGCCTTAAAAAATTTAGTTGTATTGCCTTAAAAACATACACGGCGCACAATTTTTAAACTCAATAATAATTTTTTTACCGAAATAATATTGGAGTTAACTTTGTATTTATTGATAAGCTATTCAAACTGGCTAGCAGGCAAAACTTTTTGATTACAAATACATGAGTGTAAGACATAGAAAAACCCGCGGAAACACGAATTGCCAACAAAGCGCCAAAAGAAATTTATTTTCTGATGATTATGTGTATAAATTACTACTTCTAAATATTGAAGCATATTAATAATTTATAATTACTAGGAGGCTTTTCCTCCCGCTCGCTGGCGCTCACCAACCACCGGAACTGCTTTCGCAGTTCATTTCGGATTGCTTCGCAATCCAATGCTCGCTTTGCTCGCTCATTGGATACGCCTGTACATAAGCCTGTACATTTCAATATTAATTTGAAATTGCAAACAGTTCGCATATTTTTCTTAATCACACTATTCTAAATTTCAGTTGTTGAGAAAAGTAACTGTTGTAAGTTTTGTTTTAAAGTCTTTCCCATCAGAGGGCTAAAGCCATGTGTTGTAAAACAATATGAAATAGTAGTCTGCCACTGAACGCCGGATGTAAAGCATCGGCTTTGATGAAGATAATTTTGTATTCTTCATTCCCTGAAGGGCGCCACCTCAATAATATGGAATTTGTATAATAAATATATATATTTCTGATTGTTGATGAAACCCATCATTTTGTGTTTTCATCAGTGTTCAGAAGCAGAACAACTATAAGTTTTCTATTTTATCACAAAAATATAAAATGTATGAAGAACAAAGGAAAGAGTAAGAAAATGAGTATAGTCATAGAAAAAGTTAAAATTAACAGCATTTTTATTTTTTAAGTTGTTTATTTTTATTTCTTTTAGAATTCGCTATTTTTTTAGCAAAATGTTTTTTAACCTAACAGAATTCTTTGCCGACTGTTTTCTCAATGAATGAAGAAAATAAAGTAAATATTTAACTGTTGTGAAAAGAATCTTATTTAGTTGTACAAAGTACTTCAGCCAAAATTTGGGAGCCACGTAAGAGAATTATATATATTAGATCAGAAACACATCATTAAAAGGCAGAATGCTTTGGTGTTTTCAAAACAAAGCAAACGTTGCCACCGGCGGAAAAGAAATGCAGCCAAAATTTGGGAGCCACGTAAGAGAATTATATATAATAGATTATAGATATTTATTTAAATATCTATTTATTAGTATGTATAAGTTACTACTTAATATTATTTATAAATATATTTAATATTATTTAAATATTTGAACTCCCGGGAAGTATAAAAAAAGCCTTCTGGTGGATCCCTGCCCACGTGGTCATTGAGGGAAATCAGTGCAAAGACGTCCTTGCTAAAGAAACACGAAACTTGGATCAGACCCCCAAAGTTACATCTGATGACGCAAATGCAGTTCCCAAAAGCAAACTTTAAAAAAAAAATGTAAAAACTCCATTCCGAATCTTCCTAGAAACTTCTCATCTGCAACAGCAAAACACCTTACGGGCTTTTTCAAGAAAATGGCCCGTTCTTCAGACAAGATTAAATTATACCTCATATGCAGATATTGCTCCAAAACCCAATTAACGCAACAAAAAAAAAACACATTTTCAACTGTCTAACCATTCTGGTTGCAGTTATTGGACTCCCATACAGTCTTCAGGTGCCAGAACTCGCAAAACTCATTCTCCTAATTTTTGGAAATAATTAGCACTGCCATAGACTAGAGAACAACAACAAATATTTAAGCTTCAATTGGAAACTTTTTTATATGTGAAACTTAAAGCAGCAGTATACTTTCTGATGAGGAACATAAAATTAAAAAAACATTTTTTTGATTCTGTAATGTTCTGAATTTCAGTAATAATTTAAAATCTGTACAACAGGCATTAAATCACACAAACCTCCGCAAGTATGAATTTGAAACATTTCAGCATTGTAGGCAGTTGAAGTATTTTTTTTTTAATTTTATATCCCTCGTTGAGCAGCTGACCCAATTTTTTGAATTTAAGACAACTAATGTTCAACTACGCAGCCTTGTAAATTTGAACCCATCCAGAAGACAAGGAAACTCCTGGATCAGTACCCCCAAAGGTATTGATTTGTTATGGGAACATGGAGGACTTAGCGACTCGACAGATTTAACGTGCATCAGTTTTAATGTTTCTTTTTTTCGCTCACTTTGTTTTTCCATTGCACGGTAGTGTTATTGCCTATTCAACCTTTAAAATAGTTAAAGGTGGCACTTTAAGGAGTGGCGAGTTTTGAATCTAGATGAATCTATCAAGAAAATGGAGTAGATTGAAAATCAGTTTTAACTACTTTTTCAAAAGTTGATATACTGCATCTATTACTGATGATTATTAACTCCATCACTTAAGTCAACATGCAGAATCACTTTAAAAATATACTTGCTCCAGCTTATAATCGATACAAGTATGAAGGTTGAACTTATATGAAATAAAATAAAGGTTTTATCTTTTATAAATATGCTGTAAAGAAATTGTACTCTCATAAATGTCGTTCTAAAAGTTCATTCTCCGAACTTCGATTTTAAAATATTTTATTCTTTGGGCATCGCCAAAGCTTTAAAGCTTGCAATTGACTAAACTTTTTCAACTCTTAAAAAATGAAATATATCTCATTATTTTGAGCCAAATCTCGGAATAAGACTTCACCAGAACACATTCAATATTCAAAAGAAAAACATCTTCACATAAATCTCCTTGCAGCAGAAATTTATATCGCGGGCACAGCGCTTTCATCCTAAACACGATGCCCACATTCAAACTTCAATTTCTTTCCTCCACAACAGTTCTTCTAATATATTCTTGCCTATTTTAAATTTATGTATTCAAATCTATTCTAAGGTGTTACATTAACATAATAATGACTGCCCACAAAACGTTTCATGCACCAACATTTTAAGAAGTGGATCGTGTTGAAACTTTTAAGTTAAGAATGGCTGTATTCACAGAGAGAAGGGTTCGTGTGAGATCATTTCCAACAGAGATTTGTGAGGATTCTTCATTGCCAAGTTTCATGTTATGCAAATGAAGGGAATAAGCCAAATACATAAATTCTTTTATCTTCGGTATTTTGATTGATCCGGGAATATTAAACAAAGAGAATTTGCTTAAAAATTTAAAACACTTTCAACTTTTAACTATGGCATTGCGTTTCGTATGTGACTCTCAAATATAAACAAATAATGTTTTGTGGTTTCTTATCTTTGAATATGTATCGTGATTACATTATTCCAATTCGAATTTGAAAGGGCATATAAATTACATCAGCTTTTCACATTAAATTTCTTGGCAGAGCTGCTTATATACGGAATAAAGTGAAAGTTTCATTACTACATCATGGACTTTGCAAACAAGTCAAGATATTTAGTTATCTGTTTTCTGTGAGTTACTTAATAATAATATGCTTTACCGATTTATTCCAAGATGTTCTTTCAGACTTATCTAAAAATTATAAAAATTTAAAACTTTAAAAAATTGAAATGTTCCAAGCTTTCTAAACGCCAAAGTACTTACATCTATAATAATAAAATTAAAATTTTGTGTGTATGTGTGTCTCTCTCATACCCTCAGAACCGATTGTGATAAAACTATTTAAAATTTCCCTTTTCATTCATCTGTAAAATCTATTAAAAGTGCAACTTCTAGTAAAGCAAAATAAATGTAAATAGCAAATATTGTTTAATAGGACTGCTCGGATTTTACTTGGCGCCAAATTTTACACCTAGTATATAATAGAAACATTTTCAGTGTAGAGAAACTGGGCAATGGCCGGACAATGTATCTATAAAGAATATCAAGAATACCGGAGCAGTGTATACCGGAAAACGCTAGTGCATTTCTTCCAGGGTAATTCCAGGCTATTAATAATAACTGTCAAAAAACTTAACTTGTTTCAAAATTATGCAGATAAAATAAAAAGATGATGTGATTCAAGCTCAAACAGGCTCCAATTCTCAAAACTTGACATACGCGACTGAGAAGAAAGAAAAGTTGCGAACGAAAAATCTGAAATATAGGTGAAAAACAAAGCTAGAAAAACTGCATTTTTTCTAGTTCTTTTTGTCAAATCTTGGGAGTGGACGCCTATTTTTTAGCGTTTGAAACGTGTCGACTTTAATTTCCTCAGCATATTTTTGAAGCTAATGAAGTTTTTTAATCTAGTGAAGTATTTTTTCTTATCTTTTGCTTACGGCTTCATTGTTAAATACAAGATTTTCATTTTAAATTAAGGGATATTCTTGAATTTTAAATGCTGATGAATTTGTATAGGCATTTTCAACCAATTTTAATTTTGCAATATACATATTTGTAATTCTTTCAGCAATTTACTTTACAGACTCCGTAAATTTACTCAATTCTACATACTTTATTTCCGTACATGAACGGAATCTTTAAAGTTTTCTATCCGTTAATTTACAAAGCTTTGCATAATTTTTTTTTTCTGATTATTTTCAGAATATTCGGTAAATATTGTTTTTTGCTTGCTTTAATTGTAAATGTGACTTCTGAAATCCTTCTAACTGATTTCCAGCAGATTTGATTCTCGCGTCTTTACTGAAATTGTTTCTACAAATCAAACAGAATAAACTAAGCACCTAAGCACAAGACAACAAAGTTGACAATGAAATGACCACACGAGTTTTCGTTTCTTTTAAATTTTGATTTTTCTTTTAATCGAAATATTTCAGAAATGTATCATAAATGTTTCAACAAACGCTTGCGTTTATGCAGAAAGCTATGCGTTTTTTAACAATTTGTGTCTTTTCCTGATTTACAGCAAATTTCATCTTCAAATCGGTAACCTGAATCAACAAATGGGAAAACCGCACTGCCGCAGTCCTTCAGCATGATACCTATTGTTCTATTACATACGTCCCTGTTGATAGCTTCGCACATCAGATCGCCAACTTTTTCTTGACCTCCCTGTATTACAGAGCATAATTTGCCCCCATCTGACAGCAGATTAAACTGTAAGAAAAGGTAAACAATATATATAAGCTGAAAATTAGTCTGGTACAAAAATATATTAAACCTGGTACAAGAAGCCTAACTCAGAGAGAATCTGCAACCTACTACTTTGAAAACAAAATAATTTTTTTTAATTTGATTCAATAGCAGAATTTTCACCTTCTTGTCAAGCGTTGGGCGATAAAAGATATGAAACTTAATTTAATATTGACAAAAAACATGTTATTTAAAATAACGATATCTGTAAATCTGGTTGTAAAATTAATAATATCCTTTATATGTTAACCCGTGGTTTTTGCAATCTGAATATGTTGGACAAACTAATAACTCTCTTGACATTAGAACTAATTTACGTAGTTGAGATATAGACAGTAACAAGATGATCAATAAAACAAAATTGAATCATTTTAGAGCTCCTGATTTTAACATTGTTAAAATTAATATTTTAGATATTGTAGATGATATTGATTTAAGACTACAAGAAGAAAACTATTGCCTAGAATTGCATCATTTTAGAGTACATTATTTTAACGTTGTTGAAATTGATATTTTAGATATTGTAGATGATATTGATTTAAGACTGCAAAAAGAAAATTATTACATGCATCTACACAAAACAGTTTCGCCATAAGGCTAAATGATATCTTCTAACGTGCAAAGATTACTTTAATAACTTCTCAACTTAATCACTTTCTCACATTGAAGATGAGAGTATAAACCTAAGTAAATGGAGTTGAAAGTGTAACAAAAACTATCTTAACAGTGATAAATATTTCATTTCTGATAAGGAAAAAGATTTGAATTAACATTACAATGTTAAACCGATAAAACATTATGCTTTAACCCTTAAAGTTTATAATATCTATGAGCTTCAAGATCTTATTAACAACTTTTCTTCTACTATTTTTTCTTCTACTATTTTTTCTTTTATTAATAAATCTTCAAAATTGTTTGTTTCGATCTTGTGAAAGCCAATATTAATAAAATTTAACCAATTAAAAAGAAATTTTAGATAACTTATATTTTGTTGTCAGCTTTCCAAACCCTAGTTTTGATATGTTTAAATTTCATAATATATTCGACAGGTTAAAAAAATTTTATCTTAAAAGTTTTTCAAAAAATTAAACGCTATAAATATAGTAAAACTCTAAGTATGACTATTTTTAATTATAATGATATTAGCAAAAATTTAAAGAAAATAAATGTATATGATTACGAATGTGTTCCTGTGATGAAGAGAAATATTTTGAAATTGTCGATCAGCATCATAAGCATGTTATTACCGGTAATTTAAATATTACAGGAAACTTAGAACTATGAAATTAAATGTTAAAAGGCACAAAATTTAGCCCCATTAATCATACATTAATTAATAAAATTCTAAAATCTTTTTAATGATCTCAATCTTTTTTTTCATTTAAAGATATCAAATATATTCTCTTTACCATTAAAAATGCTCACAAAACAGCAATAGGTGGCTTATTATTACTTCAAAAACTTAATTTTTAAGTAAATTAAAATAACAGTAACAATTTAATATAACATCTTATAAGTAAAGTTAAAATAACAGTAACAATTCAAAAACATTTTCTTAAATTGATCGAGCTATTGAATTTTGTAACTACCCCGCATTGACATTTTGTAAGAAATTTTGTACAAATTGCCATGTTATGTGTACTTTAAAGTAAGAGTTAAATTTTAAGCTTGTAATTTAAATAATGTTCTCATAAAAAATTTTAACTTTTTATACCATGTTAAAAATTAAAATTTATAAAATTATTAACATGCAATGCCATACTTAATTATCTTATTAATTTATAAATTTACAGCAAAATCATGTGGGTCAAATAAATTAACTAAATCTGGCGCTATTTTCTTTAACTACTGAAATAAAATTATTAACAATATTATTAAAGAAGGTTCTTCTTAGGTTCGGTTAGGAAGGTTCTTATCACTGCTAATCAAACTTTTATGGAATTTATTAATCAAAATAGAATTAAATCCTTTATGATTTTTTATTTCCAAGATCTCTTTAATAGCCCTCCCCTTTCTAAACTAAAAGATTTTATTTTGCTGATGCTTTTTTTTACTATGATTATTAAAATATCCTTAATCACGATTTTAATTATTGATAGATTCTAATTTATCTTCATATATCTGTACTAATAAATCTGTGTTGGTTGTATGTTTGAATTTTTTTAGTTCAATGAACTCAGTTGTGGAATATTTTACAGCAAAACACAAAACAAATTTTTTCAAATAATTTTTCCCGTTTGATTAGCTGTCTCTTCAAAACAAACATATTTTGAAGAAAGTAAACAAACATATTTTGAATACGCAATTAATTATTTTTTGCAAAGTACGTACAGAAATAATTATTAAATGTCTGTTACCTTATTAATGCAGGCACGCTGGCACTTTAAGGTAAGATCAAAATCACACTTGGTATTCTCTATATCAAATTCAAATGACATGGTTTCTTTTTCTCTAGTATAATCATCTTCTCCCATAAGAAAGGTGGTGCACGTACAATTTTCAGCTATGGTCAACCTAAATTAGAAAATGAAGTATTTTATTAAATAAACTGTTCCTTAGTTTTTACGCTCTAAAAAAACTGATTTATAAATTTCTTTTAAAAAAAATAATCCTCTCTCAAATAAACTACCTTTTTGAAATGATTTAAAATTTACCTTTATGAAAAAATGTAAATAGGTAATGTGTAAGTTCTGTAATTTTTTTTAAAATAATTCTCGATAATGATCATTTGTTTCGATGCTTCCTGATGTTTCAACAAACGCCATAGTCACATCCCTAAAAAATTAATATCATTAATGCTAATTTGGTAAACAAGTAACAGGTATGAGAACTTTAGTAAAAAAAATTTTTTTTTTCATTTAAACCATTCTTTTAGTGACATATCGAGATGAAAGTATATATCATTAATGGAAATTTTCAATTTATGAAAATTAATTCACGATTGTAAAATGAATATCAAACTAATAAATATCAATTTATTCTGACAATGCATTATTACAAATATTAAAATTCAGAAATTATCGGTTACAAAAAGAGAAATTTCCCTAACTTGGAAAAGTAATCGTAATTCTGATACCCTCAATTTGTCGTCAAAAAATATATAGCTAAAATAATTTAATTAAGATTAGGATTAAAAGCTGTGTGTAATTATTTTTCCTTTTATAGCATTGGAGGACTATTGCAAAAGTGAAAACCCATATGCAATAGAACCTCAGTTATCCAAGCAACCTCTTCTCTTCAACTTCTTTCTCTCCATCCTAAACTTCTTCCTATATTTATGTCTTCTTACTCTCGAGTGGCAAAAACCCCGAAAAAAGCATGTCACCTATTTCGGTCCAGTGTAGCCTCAATAGCATTCCCACAGATGGCCATCCTAAGGCATTTCTTCTTTTCGTTAAGAATACCTCTATTTACCCAAGTTAATTATCTGATTTTTTTCACAATTTCAATAATCTGCTCTAAAAATTAATTTTACTCGAGGCCTTCAAAATAAAAAACGTTTTACTCTATGCAAATTGATTATTTTATTTGAGCAACAAGTAATCGTTATGTTAGTTGGTAATTTTGTTGCCTTTGGGTCATCGGAGGAAATCTAAATACTGAAATTTTCGGCTTTTCTCTGGCCATATTAAAATTATTTATTTAATATCACTATTAAATAAAAAAAATTCAATGCACAGCATTTCAGAGTGTGGAAAATAAAATAGAAAATGATGTTACGTCCTTAGCTAAACATTCCGATTTTCCCAAGAATACTGGTCCCAATTATTTCAGACAACCGGGCACTGAATTTCATGTTTGCAATTTTTGCGGCTCACTGTTCGAAATTCTTAGCCTGACAGTCGCACCGTTTGCCTTTATTTGCAAACTTCTATGATCGAAACGTGTGATTTCTTTATTGTTTCAATTTAGGTGCAACTCGCTTCTTCTCTGACCTTTCCGAAAATAAAAATCTCATGATAAAATTTAGTGTGGTAAAAGCAGGTTTGCATCGAACATTAGTTTTTGAAGAAGAAATAAGCACCAGTTTAAATACCGAAGCATAACAACGATTCACACATTCTTACATAAACCACGATGTAATAAATCTGCAACATTTTTTCCTCTCTTTCATTTGGCACACCAATTTTAAGAGGCTTTGAGATGAGCTTCACCCGACACAAACGAATTACACGCTAACACTTTCACCAATATGCCGCAACATTCATTTCCCGAAATTCAATCTTCCACCGCATTTCTTCTTTGCCCCAATTGGAAAAAATGGCATTTCACAATACGTTACATTGGCGTTACACAAAATAATGTTACAGTNGTGTTTCAATAGTTTTAATAAAAATATATTAATATAATTCAATTAATTTCAATGAATCAACAGATATAAATCTTACGTAAAAGTTCACAAGTAATTTGTTACCTAAACATTTCCTAAACAATTAACAGTTTACCTAAACAATTAATAGGGCAATTAAATAAATAATTTTAATATTTCCAGAGAAAAAACGAAAATTTCAGTATTTAGATTTCTTCCGATGACCCAAAGGCAAAATTACCAACTAACTAAATGTTTACTTGTTGCTCAAATAAAATAATCAATTTGCAGTAAGTAGAACGTTTTTTATTTTGAAGGCCTCGCGTAAAGTAGATTTTTAGAGTAGATTATTGAAATTGTGAAAAAAATCAGATAATTAACTTGGGTAAACAGAGGTATTCCAAATTAAAAGAAAAAATGCCTTACTCGACATGCCTTTCTCGTAGTTTTTACCACTCGAGAGTAAGAAGACATAAATATAGGAAGAAGTTCAAGAAAGAGAGAAAGAAAATGAAGAGGTAGCTTGGATAACTGAGGTTCCATTGCACATGGGTTTTTACTTTTGCAATGATCCTCCAGTACTACAAAATGAAAAATAATTACACACAGCTTTTTATCCTATTCTTAATGTAATTATTTTAGCTACATAGAGCTGTTATTTATATCGTATTAAAATACATTTGCTTATCATTGTTACTATCACAAATGAGATTGAATTTCATAAAATAATATGAGGTAAATTACCCAAAGCAAAGAAGGAGAATGCTTGCACAGAACAAGTAGAAATTCATTTTTAATCCAGTAATTGAAATCCAGTAAATGAAAATAAAAGATTCGAACTTATATATGAAGTGTACAATGCAAATATTTCACACAAGGGTGATAATTTTTTTAAATTGTTATTCAAATTCTTGATAAAACATTCCGCACATCTGGAAAATTCCAAAGAATACAATATCATTTAAAGATAAACTCTAACTCTTAGTATTGCTATCTTTGTTTTTAACTTATCATTATAGATTTGATAAATTTCTAAGAATTAAGCTCCTCTGCTTTTAAAAAAATTGTATTATAGCTCCTTTTGTATTTCCAAAGCACTGTGCACTCTTTATTGCTACACTTTCTGAAATATCTATTTAACTTCGAGGTATAATAGCAATACCTTGAACAATAACATAGTGGAACTTTTTGCCGAAATTTTAATAATTTGTTTAAATGACTCGTTTTTCGCTTCAAGTTGAACCGTAATATCGTTTAATCAACCTTGAGAAGCACGATATTATGGTTCAATTTGGCCTCGTGCTTTACACCCAATTAGAACCATTTTATTGCTTTACACACTTTAAAATTTCTAACTGTTCATGGCAGTTAAAATAACATTTTACAGCTAAAATAGAATTTGTAATAAAATTTTTTTAATTTTTTGATACTTGTTCCGAAGGAAACTTTGTTAAAAAAATTATTAAAAAATTTATTAGAAAAATAGAAATTTCTTACGTGCTTGAAAATTAATAAATTAAACTATCATAAGTAAAAAAAACTTTGCTTAATTGAAAAAATTGAAAAGTCCGTAAAATATGAAGTTGCAAAGCAACAACTCAACTCAAAAAAAATTGACAAACCCTGAAATTATGATAAAAAATTAATTATTATTAATCTTATTATGAAATCTGTAGGATGTTTGCTGAATGCACATAATTGTCTAATATGATAAAATGTAATAGTACGAATATCTGTCTGATTGTGTATCCTTCATGACTCCAGAACTGTTAACGAATAAGTTTTGAAATTTGAACAGTAGGTGCAAGGAGTATTTTCCGCCTTCCACCTTAAAATCGTCTATAAAGTTCAATTAGAACGTTTGGGAGAGGAGTGCGAAAAACTATTTTTTTCATACTTTTACCTATACTGATTATTTTGAATTAAATTGCAGACGATTCTGTTTTTCCAATAGCTCAAAAAAGACAGCAGTTATTAGATTAAATAGAACTGTAGGTTAATTTAAACATAACTGTTTTATTTACTAAATTACACAGCTCTATTTTATCAAAAACAGGATACACTGGAAGTTTATTGCATGTTCTATCTCTAAGTACTATCGTTTCACCGCTGCACTGCTATTCGTAAATTGTTCTCCTCTTTTTAACCTGTAATTAACCACGTTTTATTAATAAGTATTAAAAGTATGTAATATTGCATATTTATTTATATATTATATTTTTATATACATTAAAAGTACAAAAATTTTTGCCTAAAGTTCTTATTTCCTCGCAGTTTCATGTTATGAAGTTTAAATAACTATCAGTTTTATTTAGAGTATAAAATCTAATTGATGTGAACAAACAAGATGTATTACGCATCTCTTTTGATTTGAAAATCTAAGTAATCATCTTCGTGAGGGCAAATTCAACGGTTATAAATGTAGTTACATCAAAATAGTTTTCATTCATCAATATATACATATCAAGCCAAATTTCAGTTTGTATATTTCAAAAAATATTCTATAGTTACAGCTTTTTCGTATTTACATAACTTTGATAAACATTTTCTAACACTAATTTACTATAGCATTAACTGAAATTTTGCGCATTAAATTTAAGATTAAATCTTTAATAATGCTATTGGAGTAATAAATTCACTAAATTTTGAAACGAGGGAAACAACTGAATTTTTGACAAAATATAAATTTTATTAGAAGACGTTTATGATTATACAAAATTTGCTCAATTGGTGAAAATCTTAAAAATAAAGTGCCACATATGGACTGGCTCGTATAAAAGAAAAAAAGAAAAGCTTGTCACAAAAACTTTTTGGGTTGCCAAAATGCGCAACAAAAATTGAAAGGAAACATATTATATTGTCATGTGCAAGTGAGTTATAAGATTTCCAGAAAATATGTATCGAGAAAGAAAGAAATAAAATTAGGCAATTGGGTATAATATAGCCTACGTCACAGGTTGTGTTGTTCCTACTAAATTTAACCCATGAACGGCATTTTCTGCGAGCCTAACTTCAAGCCACAAATAAACAAACGAAGTGCTCGATCGTTTAAATAGCTGCTCGCCAGATTTTATTGCATTATAAAGAAAAGTTATTGAAACTAAATACAACTAAATAAACAACAACAACTAAAACAAATAACAACAACTACTAATAACAATAACTAAATAAACAACAACTAAATTCCATTCGTTTAGCATTGCGTCATATGTTGTTCCAACTAAATCGAAGTATTGTGTTTTTTTTCATATTATACCCAATTATAAGTTTTAGTTGATACAGCAAAAAAGCGAATCTGCATGTGTATCTAAAAAAAAATTGTTTATTATTGTTACACAAGCTGAATACCCGTTCTTTGCAATGAGGGGGAAAAAGCATGAATAAATCAGTACTTAACAACCAAAATCGAGCACAAAACTGTAACACATATACCGGCAGCACAAATAATGTAATTCCAATGATTTTTTTTATTATTATTTGTCACACTTCTTGGTGGTTTTATGTTATTAGATTAAGCAAAACACGTATGTAGTCCATCGAAATAAAGATTAAGTAAATTCAGTATCCCTTGGCATAACATTGCAGGAGGCAACTCGTGATTTATAGCGTTTACCACAATCTAGCTATTTTCTCCTGCAATCTACCGCAGAAATCCATCATGAAAATTTACCACTTTGGTGCTGCTGTAAACAGCGCCAAATTTACTCATAATATATTTTGTATCTTTAAACTTATATGAATATATTTGGAACTTAATGAAACTGCTCCAATTACCCTGATACCAATTTTAATCATCATTGGGATAGTTTGGCGACTTTTTATAGTTTCCTATTATAAATAAATTCATTTTCCAAAATGATTTTGCTTTTAGTTAATAGCTTATCTTTTAATTTCAGTTACTATCTACTACCAAAATTTAAGTATGGTCTATGTCCAAAAGATCGTGAGTTCGATACCCGCCTTACATGGACTATCCTTGTAGCAAATAGGGACTGGTGCACGTTAAATTTGTCGAGTCACAAAGTCCTCCATGTTTCTATAACATGCTGAATTGCTGATCGCTCTCTGGTTCAGGTCAAAATTACAATCTGTGGATAAATGAATGGATGCATATATGGGTCCACACTATAAGCGGATGGTGAGGTGGGTGCGCCTAAAATCGTATTCCTGACAATAGATGGCGTCAATGAGGAACAAAAACACACCTTCTGCCTTAAATTCGCTTGGTTTCACCAATCAGACTTGCTCATATTGGCAAGTGGTATTAGAAACAACAACCCAAAATGAATATTTTTTTTATTATTTTTTCTTTTAATTATTAACGTATAACTTTATTTCAATTAGTAACAATTACCAAAATTAATTATTATTGATGCCAATAATAATATTCAAGATTTCTTATGCTTATCTTCAAAAAAGTAGTTCGTTTTTTCCATTAATTTTTGTTTTCAGTGCAGAACTTTTTATTCGATTTTAATTACCTTCGATTTTTAATTATTTAGCTTAAAAAATACACATTTCAAGAACATAACTATGAACAAATAATTTCAATTAACTTTAAGTGTACTAATTTGGTGACGTAGCCCACCTTTGATATCAATTACATTGATGATTCAATTTCAAATAACAGAAATAGCGAATCAAAGATAATTAATCATTACAGAACACGCAAATTAAAACAACTTTTAGGATTTAAGCTATAATCTAGCAAGCACCTGAGTTATCTTTTAAACATTTTTAAAAAATTAATCGTCTATAGTATATTTTAAAACAATAACTTCCTTTAAACGAATGAAGGAAATTAAAGGATTTAAATGTCTCGGAATTAAAAATATAATTCGAAAAGCAGTAGCTTCGAAATTTGCTTACACTTCTGCTCATTTAACTTCGTTTTAAATGTCTTACTTTTAGAGTTAATAGTATACCCGCTATCCGGCACTCAATATTTATTTATAATATTACTCCAACATATACAATGCGTAAAACAATAATATTAAAAAGTGTCTTCTAAGAAGCATTTATAAAAGAAAAATATTTGAAAATGTCATTAATAAAATTAACTAGATAAATAAAATTAAAATAAAATTAACTAGTGAATAATGGGAAAATTTATAATTATGTGCGATTATGAATATATTTCTTTAAATATCCTAAAGGTAGTATGTTAAAAAGTAGTAAAATGTCCTTTTTGTTTGGTTCTACTCTAATGTATTTTTGTTGGTACGGAGTGTTTCGTATTCTATTCCCAAAGAAAAGAAAAATAAGACGGACACTAACCAAGATGCCAGACGTAGAAACGCACGGAAGAAAAACGTCTGGAGAAATTACAGTAATGTATCGTTATGGTTGAATAAAAAACATAATCCCACTTAATAAAACCAATATATTCTGTATTTTACCTATTAGTTTGTTTCTGTTCATATGGTAAAGGTGTACTGGAAATTCTGATTTCCAAAATTATATCTCTTATTACCACATATTTAATAAAAATACAAAAGTTAAAAGTAGATTTATATGAATAAATGGTTTTTATATCATGCTAAGATAGTATCAAAATACAATTATAAACTTTAGTACATTTAACAAATTTATCACTTATTATTTATCACTTAAGCACATTTTATTATTGATTTTACCAAAATCCTCACCAAAGCGCTTTTATGGAAAATATCGAGCATTTTTTGGTGTTTCTATAGAGTCAGAAACAAGAGAAATGGTACCATATTCTAGTACTTTCGTCCAAACTTTTTTTAATCTGATCTTCAATATCTGAGCTGGCTTTTGTACTTTACTAGAAAGTAAAAAACGTAAGCCTATTGTGCACTGTTTCTTATTCACATAACTTTTGAGAAAACTTTTAATGTAAATTGAAAAAGACATCGATTTTTTTTTAAATTTTTGGAAGCAGAAGTGCTGAAAAACTATAAA